TTGCCTTTCTCTTTTAGTTTTCCCGTGGGAAAAAATACAGAAAATTAGATATAACTTATTTACATCTTCCTTAAATGTTTTCATTAATTTCTTTCCTTATTATATTGGCCACACCAAAAGATTGTAATGTAGGAGTTACAGAATATTGCTTTTTAATTCAGAAACTCTATTATCACTCTATATATTATTCTCTGTGAAATTGTGAGTGCCAGTTTACCATCAGTTGATAGACAGAGGTGGAATTTAGGAGGGTTCACAGGTGGTCATAGGCAGAAGCGAAGGTGGAGAAGAGCTTTCACATGGTGAGATAGTCACGGCGGTAGCATGCAGCTTACAGGGTAGGGATTTTAGGTAGGTTTTTCCTTGTAGAGCGTAAAATGTGTGAGAATCCCTTCGTGAGTGAATGAGTGTCTTTTTTGTAAATTTTGTTGTGTGACGACTCAAAGGGTCATCACCTGTATTTCTACTCACTCTGTATTTCGGAGGCCGTGGAAACCTCACTTGGGGGATTGCCTCGAATTTGTGTGCGCAGTCCGGGCGCGTAGCCGGAACGTTTAAATATGAATTTGTGAGAAAAATAATAAAATTTTGATGTTTTAATTGATTAAGTTTGACTTCGGTCAACATTTTGGGCAAATGGACCCGGACTCGTGATTCGATAGTCCCGGAGGGTCCGTAGGAAAATATGAGACTTGGGGGTGTGCCCGGAGTCAAATTCCGAGGTCCCGAGTCCGAGGAATGAATTTTTACGTGAAATTGTTTTCTGAAAATAATTTAAGAAATTGGAAAGTGATATTTGTTTAGAAGACTGTGGTATCGGGCTCGTATTTTGGTTCCGACGCCCGGTACAAGTGTTATATGTGGTCTAAACAATTGCTGTAAAGTTTGGTTAAATTTGGACGTCATTTGACGTGTTGCGAGCTAGAAAATATAAACTTGATGTTCCATGGAAATTGGAAGGAAATCATGGGTATTGAGGCCCAATTTGATGATTCATGATGTTGATTGGGCGATTTGATCGCACGGATGAGTCCGTAGTATGTATATGAGTTCATTTGCATGTTCGGTTTGGAGACCCGAGGGCTCGGGTGAGTTTTGAGTGGGCTCCGGAAGGTTTTAGGCTTAGAAACATTCTGAAGTTGCAGGTTCAGGGGTTGCAGGCCCCCAGCGCGCCCACGGTCAATTCCGCGCGGTCAGCGCTGGAAGCCGCGCGGCCGCGGTACATTTCTGTGCGGTCCGCGTGGCTTGGGTTCAGAGGGCCAAGGGGTAAGTTGACCAGCTCGGCCGCGCACCAAATCAGTGCAGTCCACGCTGGGTAGGTTCAGAGAGTGTGAATTTCCAGCTCCTCAGCGCGGCCGCGGTGCACTTTTGCGCGGTCCCCGCTGAGTCTTCAGAAAGGATATATAAGCTCGGGAATTTTAGTCATTTTTCACTTTTTTCAAAACCCAAAACATAAGAGACGATTTTCCAAACGATCCTTCTTCTCCAAAACGATTGGTAAGTGATTTCTAACTCATTTTCTTTACTCCTTAACATCTTTAGACATAATTTCAAACTTCAAAGCAAAGATTTTAATGGGGAAATTGGGAATTTAGGGTAGAACCTAGGTTTTCTAAAATTGGGTGTTTTGGACCTCAATTCGAGGTCCGATTCCAAAATAACTTACATATTTGAGTTCATGGGGGAATGGGTTGGTTCGAACCTCGGGTCTTGACCACATGGGCCCAGGGGCGTTTTGGGAAATTTTGAGTAAAACTTTGAGAAATTCACTTTTCATGCATTCAAATTTATTAGATTAGCATTTGTTGATACACTAAAGTAATTTGTGCCTAGATTCGAGCGGTTTGGTGGTGAATTCGAAGGATAAAGCGATACTAGAGGCTTGAGTTGAGTTTGGAGCATTTGAGGTAAGTGTTTGATCTAACTTTGGTTTGAGGGAATAGGATTAGAGTATTATTTGCTAATTGCTAAATGTTGAGTATGGTGTATAGGCATGGTGACGAGTATCTATACACCGGTGTCTAGCATGACCGTGAGTCCTTACTTGTGCTTATTTGGGATTCTGTAGTGACTCTTCCTTGTTTAATTGATGGATTCGATATAATGTGAACAATATGAAGAGAAAATATGATTCGTAAACTCCTTGGAGCGTTGGCTCGAAATATGACACGATTAAGACGTAAGAAATGAACGAAAGAGGAAGAGATGTAATTACTCCCTTGCCGGGACGTGTAAGTTATTGTTGTTGCTCCCTTTCCGGGAATTAACTGTTTATTTGTATTCTCCCTTGCCGGGATGGTTGAATTGATACTTGTTCCCTTGCCGGAAAATCCTTATATATTAAGAAATGGGATCGTGTGGCACGCCGACCACTTATATATTATGAAATGGGATCGTGTGGCACGCTGACCACTTATATATTATTAAATGGGATCGTGTGGCACGCCGACCACTTATATAGATTATGAGATCTGATATAGTTTCGTGTTTACTTCTGATAAGTTGTTTTCATCTGTATCCCCTAAGCCTGTCCCCTCCCTGCCTTAATTGGTATTTTCTGCTGTATTTCGTTGTACTTGTATAATATATATTAATATATATATATATATATATATATATATATATATATATATATATATATATATATATATATATATATATATATATATATATATATATACCTAGAGGCTGCAGAGTTAGGAAAACTTCACTCTTGTTCTTTCTTGCTGTGCGATTCTGTTTCCCAAATACCGATTGTCTTTCTACTCTGTTCTTTCGCGGATGGTGAGAACAAGTGCTTCCTCTTCTACCGCGCAGCAGCCCGAGCCCCCAGCAGCAGCTCCTACGAGGGGCAGAGGGCGAGGCCGACGCCGTGCCAGAGGCCGAGGCCGGGGCAGAGCTCAGCCCCGAGCAGCAGTCCCAGAGGTGGAGCCTCATGATGATTATGATGAGGAGGTTCCAACCCCAGCAGCTCCGGTAGGCCCAACTCAGGTCCCAGAGGGGTTTATAGCCACCCCAGTTCTTCAGGACGCTTTGGTCAGGTTGGTAGACTTTATGGAGAGCGTCTCCCGAGCGGGTTTGCTTCCAGTAGCACCAGCCACTTCTCAGGCTGGAGGAGGAGTTCAGACTCCTGCTGCACGTACTCCGGAGCAGGTAGCTCCCCAGGCTCAGGTTCCAGTGGTTCAGCCAGCTGTGGCAGTTCAGCCGAGTATTGTGACTCAGACCGGCGATGGAGCGGCTATGTCCGCAGATGCTTTGTGGAGGCTGGATAGGTTCACCAAGCTCTTCACCACCACATTCAGCGGTGCTTCTTCAGAGGACCCCCAGGATTTCTTATATAGCTGCCATGAGGTTCTTCGGACTATGGGTATTGTGGAGACCAATGGGGTCGACTTCGCCACCTTTCGTCTGTCTGGATCCGCCAAGACTTGGTGGAGGGACTATTGTTTATCCAGACCAGCAGGGTCGCCATCATTGACTTGGGACCAGTTTGCAGAGTTATTTTTGGAGAAGTTTCTCCCAGTTACACTACAAGAAAAAGCCTTATTTACGACCAACTTATAGGGACGGGTTAAAAACCCCGTCGCAAAAAATATATTTATTGGGACGAGATTATATTGCAGTCCTTAATGCTTTCTTTTATTGCGAAGATAATAAACCCGGTCCCGAAAGAAACTAGTAACTGGTCCCAAAATTATAATGAAGGGTAATTGAGCGTGAAAAAGTACCGCCAAATGTAATACCAAAATATTAAAAAATATTATTTTCTAAAAAATTAGGCGCCAAACTAATATAATGAAATAAAAAATTCTAAAAAGTGAAGAAACTCTCTGTCTTCTCAAAACAAAAGTCTCGCACAGCTTTGCCCTAGTTCTTCTCCAAGCTCTGTCGCCCGGCTGCTTTATCTCTGTTTTCTCAAAACACATTTTGTGAATCTGGTATTGTGCGAATCCAAATCTGCCCAAGTTTTCATCTTGCTCATTTGAGAATCTAAGGTATGCCCCCTCTTTCAAGTTGCTCTTTTTCTTCTCTTAGTTGTTCTAAATTCGTTGATAACTTTGCTTTATCCGAGTTCTTCTTCTTCTTCTTCTTCTCTAACATTAAATATTGGTAAGGTTTTATAATCTGGTATTTTTTCTTTTGTATAATCAGCGAAAAGTGTATTCTTATCTTTTTTACTGCTCATACCAGAGAGTTAGTTCTATTTTGGGGGTATTAAGTGAGCGTGTTTTTCATTGAGATTGAAGTTGGTTCTTGAATCAACTTTTGATCTTGAACCATGATATGTACATATTCTTCTATTTTCTTTACTGCTGCTTTTCAGTTTTTTTCAAAGCTATAGTAGAGTAAGATCTTAAGGTTTGTATCTTTATTTGTTGTACTTCAATTTGTCAATGAACTTTGTGTGCGAGTTTCGATTTCTTGCTATTTTACTGCTTGTTGTTGCTTTATGTGCCAAGTAATATTAAACATACAACTAACACTGTATTCACAAATATTTTTATTTTATATAAATAAGCAAAAGTATATGGGTGGTTGTATGTAAGAAAAAAAGAAATAACAGAGAACATGAATCATGTTACATGTTAAGAACTCTGGGAAATTCAGCTCACACCAACTACCAAGAAGCAATTTTTTAGTCGCACGCGACTATTTTGGATGACCTTTTGTCGTAAAGTGTAATATTTACATTTTTCTTTGGTTTAAGTAATTACTTCGATCTTGAAGCAAGCTAGAATAAACCATGTATACATGTTTTAGGAACCAACATCTTCAATTACAAGTTAATTTATAATATTTATGTATCTTAGTGCCATATAATTGTATATTACAATGTATTAAGTGAAAACAAAGGAACCCAGTCAGCTAGAAAGTGCAACCTTAGAGTCGAACCCAGTTGTGTGCATGTGATAGTAACAAGTTGTGTGCATCCTAGTTTTTTTCTTATCTTTTATGTTTTTTTTTTAAATCTAATTTTTATGTACTCTCCAAGGTTATGGCACCTAGTAAGCAATGGATGCAGCTTGTTGATAATCGGCTCGATGAAGCCTACTTAATCGGAGTGCAAAAATTTTTGGATTATGCTTTTCAGAAAACGGGAGAAGAATATGAAATACGATGTCCATGTGTCAAATATTGTAATACAACTTTAGGAACTCGTAAGATAGTTGAGACACATTTGAAAGTATATGAAATAATTCAAAATTATACTTTTTGGTGATGAAGTAGAAGAATGTGAGAGTGAAGATGAAGTAGAAGAACTGTTGAGAGATTTATATCCTAATCTTGATGGAAGAACTGTGCCTACTGATTGTGATGATTTACTTGAGGAGGAACCAAATGTTGAAACAAAAAAATTTGATAGGCTATTGAAAGATTTCGAACAGTCACTGTATCAAAAGACTACTGCTATCAAAGAGAGGATATTAAGCAAGAAAAGTTGGATCATATGTGGGCAGCTATTGAGGTAACAACTGTTGCCTAGAATATGTGCATTTTGAGTCATTTTAAATCTATGTAGGAACTTTCTGCAGAACATTTGAATTCTCAGTCATTCATGTAGAATATTTTCAAAATCATGTTATGGGCTACTGTAATCATTTTAGAGAAAATGTCTTTCTGCTCATGGTATGAGAATGTTAACTATATTATCTGTATAAAGGTATGAGAATGTTAACTATATTATCTGTATAACGGTATGAGAATGTTAACTGATTCAACATACTCCATAGAAAGTTTTGCCGGTAAGAATGTGGAACACACTACCATGTCTTCTTACCTTAGTACTTCTCAGCTTTTAAGTCTTCTGCTACAACTTTTTTGTGCTCTTTCTTTTTCTTTTTATTTTTAGTAAGAGCAAAATTTTATAACAGATTACGAGGTATGATTGTTGGCTCAGATTTGAAAATTGAGAAAACTATCATCGAAGTTCTGTTGTAGTGCTAAAACATGACATTGGCACCTGGTATTGCTAAAAAATTTATCTATACTGTGGTCTGATGTAGGATCCCTGTCTCAACTGGATTCGGCTCACCTCCTGTACACCATCCGCCAAGTTCTTCCGGTGTAGCTTTAATTTTATGACACCTGCCCCTTCTCCAGCATTATGATTTATAACTGTTACTTCTCGCTCAGTTAAATAAAGCGATCATTGTCAACTTACTTGCATTACTATTGTAAATTAACATATATTATTTTACCAATAGTTATTTATCGTTTTTTCAAAATTTTCTACTTACAGGTTTTGAAGATTGAAGCTACAAGTCAAGATGCAAGTTTGGAAAATTGGAAGCTTCAAGCTCATTATTATTTTGTTAAGAATGTTATGTAAAACTTGATATCATAGTCTAGCTCAGGATTTAGCTAAGTTTTTTTGTTAAGGTGTCGAGCAAATACTGAAATTAACATCATGGGATGTTAATATTGCAATAAATAACTTTATTACCTTTTTATATCTAGATTTTTCAATAGCAATTTGATATTTATTGATAAGAATAACTTTTTTGTGACATCGAGCTTTAGGAATACTTGTGGTCAATAAGATCGAGATTAGAAATATGGTCGTTAAAATTACTACAATTATTTTAAATAGGGACCAGTGCTACTTGTCTCTAAAAGATAAGTTACGACCAGTTAAAGACTGGTCGCTAAAATGGGTTAACGACCGAAAAATATATATTTTTCATAATATATGTCGTCTAATAGGGAGGGGAAAGGTGGTCGCTAAAACTGTTTTACGACGAGAAAATATATAATGTTAAAAATATATTAATTGTCTACTGGGACGAGATATGCAGTCTCTAAAGGTATTTAATGACTAGATTTTTCATCCGTCGCAAAACACATTTAACGACCAGAGTTTTGGACCCGTCGTTATTGTCCTTTAGCGGTGGAAGCTATTGCGACCAGTGGCGACCAGCTTTTTATCGTCGCAATTGGTTTATTAGGACCAGATTTGGATCTTTAGGGACCATATTTCCCTTCCTTAAAGACCGTTTTTCTTGTAGTGTTACTCAGCGAGAGGCACTTCGCAGGCAGTACGAGCGCCTCCAGCATGGCTCTATGACAATCACGCAGTATGAGACTCGGTTCATTGATCTGGCACGCCATGCTATTGTTATACTCCCCACAGAGCGAGAGAGGGTGCGGAGGTTTATTGATGGTTTGATTCAGCCGATCCGTCTCCAGATGGCTATAGGAGCCGGAAGTGAGATTTCTTTTCAGGAGGCGGCCAATGCGGCCCGTAGAGTTGAGATGGCTCTTGCACGGGGAGGTGGTCATGGGTCAGATAAGAGGCCCCGTCATGCAGGTAGATTCAGTGGTACCTCGTCTGGAGGTGGGGATTCTTATGGTAGAGGCCATCCTCCGAGGCCCTTTCAGTCAGCCCTACAGGTCTCACATGGTACTTCAGGTGTCATGGCTCTCAGCCGCAGTCTTCTGATCAGCAGCTTTTCAGTTCGCCATCAGCACCCATCAGCGCACTACCACTCCGCTATTCTCAGCAGCCGAGGGCTTGTTACACGTGTGGTGACACGAGGCACATTACTAGGTTTTGCCCTCGAGCTTCGGACAGCTCTCAGCAGCAGGGTCTTCGCACTATGGTTCAGGCATCAGCTGATCCGCAGGGCGCCCAGCCAGTTAGAGGCGGGGGTAGACGCCATAGAGGTGGAGGTAGAGATCATAGAGGTGGAGCTCGGACTGCCAGAGGTAGAGGCCAGCTAGCAGCCGATCGTCCCAGAGATATGGTTCAGGGAGGTGGGGCCCAGCCCCGATGTTATGCTCTTCCAGCCAGGCCAGAGGCTGAGTCTTCAGATGCAGTCATTACAGGTACTATTCTGGTCTGTGATAAGGATGCTTCAGTGCTATTTGACCCTGGGTCTACGTATTCATATGTGTCGTCCTATTTTGCACCCTACTTGGTTATGCCTAGTGATGCCTTGGGTGTTCCTGTATATGTATCTACACCAGTGGGTGATTCTATAGTGGTCGACCGAGTTCATCGTTCCTATGTGGTAGTGTTTGAGGGTCTTGAGACCCGTGTTGATCTATTACTCTTAGACATGGTGGATTTCGATGTTATATTAGGGATGGATTGGTTGTCCCGTATCATGCAATCTTGGATTGTCACGCCAAGACCGTGACCTTGGATTTGCCAGATTTGCCCCGATTGGAGTGGAGAGGGACCCCAGGGCATGCCACTCGCAGTGTTATCTCATATGTGAAGGCTCGACGCATGGTCGAGAAGGGGTGTTTAGCTTATCTGGCATATGTTCGCGATTCCAGCGCAGAGGTCCCTTCTATTGATTCTGTTCCTATTGTTCGGGAGTTCCCTGAGGTTTTCCCTTCAGACCTGCCGGGTATGCCGCCCGACAGGGATATCGATTTTTGTATTGATCTAGCTCCGGGCACGCAACCCATTTCTATCCCGCCGTATCGCATGGCCCCGCCGGAGTTAAAAAAATTAAAGGATCAGCTGCAGGAATTGCTGGGGAAGGGTTTCATTAGACCCAGTGTTTCTCCTTGGGGCGCGCCGGTGTTATTTATGAAGAAAAAGGATGGTTCGATGAGGAAGTGCATTGATTACTGGCAATTGAACAAAGTGACGATTAAGAACAAGTATCCACTGCCGAGGATTGATGATTTGTTCGACCAGCTTCAGGGTGCAAGGGTATTTTCAAAGATAGACTTGAGATCTGGCTACCACCAGCTGAGGATTAGGGCATCCGATGTCCCTAAGACCGCATTCCGCACTCGGTACGAGCATTATGAGTTCCTGGTCATGTTGTTTGGGTTGACCAATGCCCCAGCAGCATTCATGGAGTTGATGAACCGAGTGTTCAGGCCATATTTGGACATGTTCGTGATAGTCTTTATTGATGATATTTTGGTGTACTCCCGCAGCCAGGAGGAGCATGAGCAGCACCTTAGGGTGGTTCTTCAGACTCTGAGGGATAGTCAGTTGTATGCTAAGTTCTCGAAGTGTGAGTTCTGGTTGAGTTCTGTTGCATTTCTGGGTCATGTTGTATCAGCAGAGGGTATTCAGGTGGACCCGAAGAAGATAGAGGCAGTCAAGAACTGGCCTCGACCAGCATCGGCTACGGAGATTCGAAGTTTCTTGGGGTTAGCAGGTTATTACCGCCGGTTCGTGGAGGGATTTTCATCCATAGCAGCCCCGATGACCAGATTGACCCAGAAGGGTGCCCAGTTCAGATGGTCGGATGAGTGTGAGGTGAGCTTTCAGAAGCTCAAGACGGCTCTGACTACGGCACCGATATTGGTTTTGCCCACAGGCTCAGGGCCTTATACAGTTTATTGTGATGCTTCCCTTATTGGACTTGGTGCAGTATTGATGCAGGATGGCAGAGTCATTGCTTATGCTTCGAGGCAGTTGAAGATCCACGAGAAGAATTACCCGGTTCATGATCTAGAGTTGGCGGCCATAGTTCATGCCTTGAAGATTTGGAGGCATTACCTATATGGTGTGACGTGTGAGGTGTACACCGATCACAAGAGTCTTCAGTACTTGTTCAAGCAGAAGGAGTTGAACTTGAGGCAGCGGAGGTGGTTGGAGCTATTGAAGGACTATGATGTTACTATTTTGTACCACCCGGGGAGAGCCAATGTGGTGGCCGATGCATTGAGTAGGAAGTGCGCCAGCATGGGTAGTCTTGCTTATGTTCCGGTCAGCCAGAGACCGCTTGCTTTGGATATTCAGGCCCTGGCCAATCGATTTGTGAGGTTGGACATTTCTGAGCCTAGTAGAGTGTTAGCTTGTACGGTCGCTCGTTCTTCATTATTGGAGCGTATCCGTGATCGGCAGTTTGATAATCCCCATTTGTGTGTCCTGAGAAACACGTTGCAGCGTGGAGGTGCCACGAAGGTGACCTTAGATGATGATGGTGTTTTGAGGTTGCAGGGGCGAGTTTGTGTGCCCAATGTCGATGGTATTTGAGAGTTGATCTTAGCGGAGGCCCATAGTTCTCGGTATTCTATTCACCCGGGCGCCGCGAAGATGTATCAGGACTTGCAGCAGCTTTATTGGTGGCGTAGTATGAAGAAAGATATTGTTGCATATGTGGCTCGATGTTTGAACTGTCAGCAGGTTAAGTATGAGCATCAGAGGCCTGGTGGTTTGTTTCAGAGGATTGAGCTTCCCGAGTGGAAGTGGGAGAGGATTACCACGGATTTCGTTACTGGACTTCCGATGACTCGGAAGAAGTTTGATGCTATTTGGGTCATTGTTGATAGGCTGACCAAGTCAGCGCATTTTATTCCTGTTGCAGCCACTTATTCATCGGAGAGGTTAGCTGAGATCTACATCCGAGAGATTGTTCGCCTTCATGGGGTGCCGGTATCTATTATCTCGGATCGGGGTACGCAGTTTACCTCGCGCTTCTGGAGAGCAGTTCAGCAGGGGTTGGGCACCCAGGTTCAGTTGAGCACAGCGTTTCATCCTCAGACGGACGGCCAGTCCGAGAGGACTATTCAGATATTGGAGGATATGCTCCGAGCCTGTGTCATCGATTTCGGAGGCTCGTGGGACCAGTTTTTGCCTTTAGCAGAGTTCGCCTACAACAACAGCTACCAATCCAACATTCAGATGGCTCCTTATGAGGCGTTGTATGGTAGGCGATGTCAGTCTCCATTCGGATGGTTTGAGCCGGGAGAGGCTCGGTTATTAGGTACAGATTTAGTTCAGAAGGCCTTCGATAAGGTCAAGATCATTCAGGAGAGGCTTCGTTCAGCTCAGTCTAGGCAGAAGAGTTATGCAGACCGTAAGGTTCGAGATGTAGCTTTCATGGTTGGTGAGCGGGTATTGCTCCGAGTGTCGCCTATGAAGGGCGTGATGAGATTTGGGAAGAAGGGCAAGCTTAGCCCTAGGTACATCGGCCCGTTTGAGATTCTTGATCGAGTGGGTGAGGTGGCTTATAGACTTGCGTTGCCGCCTAGCTTATCAGCCGTGCATCCAGTTTTCCATGTATCTATGCTTCGTAGGTATCACAGCGATCCTACCCATGTGTTAGACTTCAGTACTGTCCAGTTGGACAAGGACTTATCATATGAGGAGGAGCCGGTAGCTATTCTAGACTGGCAGGTTCGTCAGTTGAGGTCCAAGAGTTTTCCTTCTGTTCGTGTTCAGTGGAGAGGTCAGCCTCCCGAGGCATCGACCTGGGAGTCCGAGTCTGATGTGCGGAGCCGTTATCCCCATTTTTTCCCGACTCAGGTACTTCTTTCTCTTGTCCGTTCGAGGACGAACGGTCGTTTTAGAGGTGGAGAATGTGACGACTCAAAGGGTCATCACCTGTATTCCTACTCACTCTGTATTTCGGAGGCCGTGAAAACCTCACTTGGGGGATTGCCTCGAATTTGTGTGCGCAATCCGGGCGCGTAGCCGGAACGTTTAAATATGCATTTGTGAGAAAAATAATAAAATTTTGATGTTTTAATTGAT